CTCCTCTCCCTATTACTATAATATTTAACCCTATAGAGGTTTTAATCCTTATAACCCTTTATCCGAACGTAGTCCGTATACAGTCGTTATTAACTTAATTACCGTATTTATCTAAAGGCTTTATTATTATACCCTATTTTTTTATACTACCAGTAATTTAATTTATTACTTTTATAAACGTTTTTCCCGTTACGGCAAAGTATATATATCGAGGCCGTTTATATAACGCGTCGGGCACTCTTACTATTATAAATCGGTTAGTTTATTCCTTTTTTAATACTCTATTTAACCTTATTTAATCGAGTACTTAATTACCGAATATCGCCGTTTATCTTTAAAGAAATTGGCCGCCGAGAAATAACTTTTAAATATTTATTATAAAGCCGAAAAGGCTACGCGTAAAGTGTAGGAAACCGTTATATATTTATCCCGCCTTTATTAATAGAAACGATATTTATTAAAGCGGGGTACCGCTATTATTAGCGAGGTGGTACCTACGCTCGACCTTCCTATTACTACTACTTTTAATACTAATTTCTTTTTCTTAGATCCTTCCTTAGGCTTCGACTAGCCGCCTAACCTTTCCCTAGACCCGGGCGTAGCCGGTCCTTCCTTCCTAACCCCGCAAGGTACCGCCGAGGGCGCACCTTCCACTTCCTAAAGTAATTAAAACGCATAATATTATTTATATTTAGGTCCTTTCACTCTTTCTAACCTCGTAATATAATATATAATATATTAATTATTACGTTAAAAGCGTAGGTTCGATTCTTATTAAGGTTTTCGAGTTTTTATATTATCGCTATTTAGCGGTAATTTAAAGACCTATTTTTTTTATTTAGGTTTTAGTCGGTTTAAATATCGTTAGTAGAATTCTTTTTATTTATTTAAGTAATTAAAATTTATTTTTAATTCCTATAAATTATTTATAATTAAATATTTTAATTAATTAATTAAATACTTTAATTAAACTTTATTAAACCATAAATTTAATATTTTTTTATATTATATTTTTATTTTTTATTTTTTATTATAACCTATATATTAATTTTATTTATATATAGTACGGGTTCTAAAAGTAAGATATAAAAGGTATATAATTATAAACGTATTATATTAAGTAACTCTAATTCGAATATTATCTTTAAGATCTTCTTTTTAACTTTAAATAAGCTTACTCTCCTATAGTCTAGCTTTTTATTAGGTTTTTTAATACGTAAATTACGTATAAAAAGAAATATTATATCCTTCCCTTTAAAATAAAGTCTTTCGAGCTTTTTAATATTATAGTATTTCCGTATCCTTTCCTTTATAAATCTTCCAGCACACGGCGGCGTCCGAGCGCTG